AGCCAGAAGGAAGGCTGCTGCAGGAAGAAACTTTCATTCTGAGGGAAGGGTGAGTAGTCTAAGGCCACTGCAGATAGTGAGCTAGGGACAGTATATTTAGACACATAAGGGCATTTGATTTCTTTTCTTTTCACCCACTTACTGTTATTATTCTGCACCTTGTTGTTTGACCTCCTATACAATAAACTATTTTCATTGTTCACTGTGCCTGGTCCTATTATTCGGCCAAAAGGGAGGTCTGAAGGTCTTGGGAGGGTACTCTGGGCCTTCTCAAGGGAACCTAAATCCAGAGTGGTGGCAGCATCAGGTGACACCCCACCCGAGCCGTGACACCCCCCCCAAAGAAAAAAATAACATTGTCCATGGGCAGTGGAAGGTGTCCCCCCCCGGAAGTTCCCTTTCAATGTGGTTTCCATCAAAAACATTCCTGTGTAAGATTGACATTAGGTTGGAGAAATACAGGCACCTGATCTTGGGGTGTCCTGGCTGGGATATATGTTGTGGTTGAGAGGGATATGAATGAGAGAACACTTATAAGTGCCAAAGAACATATTCTCTTCCCTTTGGAGACTGGCAGCCATACTTGCAGCTGCGTATCCTTGGTGGCAACTCTGTAGGAGTGCTGCAAGGGCTTGATTTGGATCAAGATCATGTCATGGGAGGGTGGTGGTGCTTCTACTGTCCATCTACACGACTTTCTGGAACCAAAACTGCCTTGGGGAGCATTACTTGTCCCATTTGGAGGCTGAACACACAACAAACAGTGCAAGTGTAGTCCCCTGATGGGGTAAATAATGCTTCCTGGACCATTTCTGCTCATGAAAACAGTGTTGGGTAAAGCAGGATTCTCATCCCCCATTCCACAGTCCAGATCTGATCCAGATTCCACAGTGGTGCTTCTAGATCAGGGGTATCAAACTTAAGGCCTGCGGGCTGGAACTGGTCTGCCCATGGCTTTAATCCGGCCTTGGGCTCTTTTCTTCCCCATCCTCCCCTCACCCTTTGAAGCTCGAAGTTGTTAAAATTCCCAGCTCCCTTGGGTCTTGTCTTTGCCTGCTTCAGCAGGGGCAGGAAGCTCTTCTGGCCTTGCAAAGTTGCACAGAAAATGCGGAATTAGTTTTTCCATTAAGGTCTCTGCACCCAGCTACCCCACTCTGGGACTGTTTCTAGGAATAGAAACAGTGCTCTGGCTGGAATGACAGCCCCCAGAGTAGAATGACGATCCCTAGCAATAGAATCTGTGATCGGAGACTGGAATGAAAGCGGACATTAAACTGGTGATTCACTGCCACTCTGAGTAGATAGGCGGAAAGGAGAAGCTTGCAATGCCCAGCCATTTCATGTTTTCCTAGGGATTTATATTTTTACTTTATATTTTAATTTCTGCTGTGATCCTTGTGCTTTGCCAAATCCCACTATTCCCCCACATTTTCAGTTTAGGCAGGCATCTTTAAAGGGGGGGGGGAGGTTTGGGAGGTGTCATTAAATAATTAAATTAAGAAAATATTGTAAGATTTTTAAGCATATTTGTATTTTAAGTAAAAAAATAATCCTTAATTATGTTTGTACGTATCCATTCTAAAGTTTATATCTCCACTACCTGGCATTACATTTTACGACACACATGGCCCAGTCCCACAAAATCCCATTTATGTGAGAGCCGGCCCTTGTAACAAATGAGTTTGACACCCCTGTTCTAGATGGAGCTACCCGTTGAAATTCTTTGTCACATTATGGCTTCCTTGGAGCACACATAAAACATAACATGTAGTTTGGCCCCACATTGGTATTCTGTATTCTCCAGGGCTCAAAGGCACAGTGGGACTCCCAATGGGGCATCCTAAGTAGAGTTACATCTTGCTATGTCCAATGAAATTAGTCTACTTAGAACTCTTCCTGGTTTGGTGGGGATTTTGAAAGCTTTATTGCTGGTATAACGTCGTGATAGCAACATGAGTATGAATGAAAGTGGAGAGGCCTAGGATGCTGAGTCATTGTCATAAGAATATCACAGGTGCATTGCTGGATTCGACTGGTAGACCATGTAGTCCAGTGTTCTGTTTTACCAAGCAGGCACCCTGTGCCCTGGAGGGCAACCAAACAGTACACAGAAATCAATTCCTCTCCTTGATTGCCTTGTAGGACAAGTATTTGGAGGTAGTCTGCCTCTGGCTGCTTTGGACCGAACCTGATCTTGTCACCCTCCTTACCCTGGAGAACTTTATACCAGGCTTTGAGTTAAATCGGTGTCATGCTGCTGTGGCTTAGTGCTGGTTTTTCACTGGATATCCCAGTATGTTTCCCACTTACGTCACTGTCTCTTCAAGAAATGCCAATGTACAGCTTTGCTGACATCCTGAGGCCTTCAGAGATGCTGTTAGTCTGTCCTTCAATTGCTCAGCTTTTGATGACCACTAAATGTGTGAAAGATCACAGTCCAAAAGGACTGTGTTTGTTGTCCTAGGTGAGATCCATATTTTGATGCTCTGGTTACATATGTGAATCCTCCAAAGTGGTAAAATTGCCCAAATGATGAGTGCCTATCCTAAGTGTTTAATGGAGGGGAAGCTCTTACTTACTCCATGGGACGTCTATGATTTTGCTATAACAAATTTTGTTTCTGGTGCCGGGCATACAGCCACCTATGATGGTTTTGCTGCAGTTCGTAGATTTACAAATTAGACATATGTCGGGTCCAGTTGCAGATGAGACTAAAAGGAAAAGAGATGACAGTAAGAGTAAAACAGACCTGAGTGTTAAAGTACTTGACAACTAGCATCAGCATTTCCACTGAGGCCCCATAGTGTTACCCAGGGGTTGTTTCATAGAAAAAGAGCTAGGGGAACTCATTAGCATAACTCATTAGCATATGCCACACCCCCTGACATCATAAGGCCCGGTGGTGGACCTGCAAGGCCGGCGGGAGTGAGAGGAAGCCCCGCCAAGGCCCTCCCTGACCCCAGGCAGGCAGGGGTGGGGAGAGGCGGGGAGGAAGCAACTTACCCTCCCTCTTCTCCTGCCTTCTCCTGGCTGAATGAGGGCCAGAAGCGGGGCGGCCAGAAGCAAGGGGTGTGGCTTCATCGTGTGCCCCGCCCCCAAACCTCACCCGGGGGAACTGCGATCCCCCGCCGAAATGACCTCTGGTGTTACCCCAAATCAAACTGTTTTGATGCACAGGGTGTAGTTATCGGACCATGTGGGTTGTGGAGAGAACAGTTATTCTACAGAAGACACTATAACCCTACTCAGAAGGAGGTACATTAAATTTAAAATGTATTGATTTATTTGTTTGTTCGACTGAGGCTGTGGTCACACGGCAAGCGTAGCCTGATTTGTTCCCGCTGTAGATTTGATCAGGGGTATTTTTAAGTGAGTTCAGATGATCACACATCCCTTGCCCAACCGCTTGCTTTGCGCGACAAGGCTCCAGGCACTGTCCAGGCAGCCGTGCCACCCAAGTGGTGGTGTGGCACAATTTTTTTAAATACTTCTTTGTGCATGCACATATGTGCATGAGCAGATGTGCGCATATGCGCATGCGCACACATGCACACAGTGGTAAAAGTCACACACACACAAAACTACCGGAAGGACGTTCAGATGACCTGATCGTAATCATTGCGAGAGATGCCTGTGCAGATAGGCAAAATCATGGATTCAAAGCGCAAGTACCCAGAAAATGCTTGATTTTACCGGTGTCAGAAAACTCCCTAGGGAACGGTGAGGATTGCGCCAGTGAGCCCACTTTGCCGCAGGAGATGGATGTAGACATCTGATCAGCAATTTTAAATGCGAGAGGAAACAGAGGTGAAACCTGATCAAAATGACCATGTGACCACAGCCTTATATCCCACCCTCCCCGCCAAAGCAGGCTCAGTGCAGCTTACATAAAAGTGAAAAATACATAGAGCAACACAATTATAAAACAGCATAATTAATCAGCAATTAATAAACAGTCATAAAATGCTAAAACAGTGCTGAGGGCAGTAATAATATTGCAATGGAGATCGCAAGAGGCCATAATCACAGAGAAATGGTCAGTGGTGGAGTTCAGCTTATCCAGTTTTTTTATACCGGCGAGCACAGGCTGCTGATGGTAAATCCAGGGGGAGTGGGCCGAGACATAATACAGTGGTTACATGCAGCTCTGAATTAAAGACCTGGTGGAAGAGCTCTGTCTTGAAGGGTCTGTCCAGGGGGAGCGG